TTTAGCAAATAAATCGCGCACATCCGGAGTAGAAGCTAGCGCTGGACGAAACGATTCCATGGAAGACGTTCTGTCGAAAATGCAGAAAACACCAAAGCGGCCGTCATCAAACGCCAAGAGAAGCACCCTGAATGTAACAAGCAAAAGAGCCGTGGTCGCTGATAACTCGCATGAGTGAGTGCTTGCAATATAAATTTAGTCACGATGAAATTGATTGGCTGCACTGTTGAGTATACTGCACAATTCGATGGAGATGCGGACGTTTTTGGCGTCGTCAGGTTCATAGTTGAACACAAGTAGGCAGCCATGAGTGAACTCCTTAGGGTCCAATACATTACAAGCAGGATCTACACCCAGCCTACTCATGTTAGTGGTCTTGATGACCCATCCAATATGTCGATCGGGGGCTTGAGTTGTACTTGTCGTTGTACGCGTGTTGAGGACTATCTCGGCGTTGCCCTATTGTGAGTGAGTGTTGATGTCGCCAGGTAGCACAGCAGCCATTTTTGTTCTACTCATTTTTTAATCGATCCCGGATGGTCTCAAAGAGAGAAAGAAACCATAGTGGGCACAGTCCACGTGGCGGCATCAACACACAGCCCAGCGCGAAAGTCATCAACGATCGTACGACGTCAAGCACACGCTCCACATCGAGGCCATCAATGCTTCCGATCGACAGGCTGGATGGGCCATCAAGATTACCAACTTGAGGTGGCTGGGTGTGGATCCTGTCTGTGGTGTATTGGACCCTCACGAGTTCATTCTTATGGCGGTCTCCTGCGATGGATCTGACGAGCAACGACCGTATCACCGTCGAGTGGTGCAGCCAAGCAATTCCGTCATGAGTGGTTCCGAGGAGATGGCATGGTCAGAAGGAAGAACTTCTCCATCAAATACGATCCTCGTGAACGTTACTAGGTTATTTAGTGAACATCAGTTTTTATGAGCAGAATCACTATTTTGCTACTTGATTCAGGGAAGAAGATGTTACCATGACAAGTGCGGTGCCTGAAGCAGCCAATGGTAATTACTCAGTTCAGCAAGCCAATGGGACATATGTGGTTCAAAAAGATGGGACATTTGTGGTTCAAAAAGATGGGACGTTTGTAGTTCAAAAAGATGGTACATATGTGGTGGAAGCAGCCGCTCCAAACGGGTCTCAAGTGCAACAGCAACAAAACGCTACGTTTCACCATCGAACAAACCGAGAACGGTCAACCTTTTGTACACGAAAATAGTGCAGTCGGTTCCTCCAAGGCAACGAATACTGTGGAACCTGTGTTCGCAGTGCCAGCTCTTCCTAAACGAACCACGAAGAACACAGCGAAGACCACCGTCGAACAGAGGGAGAAGAGGATGGTAGGGATGTTATCCTTTGAAGATTGTTAAACAAAGCGACATCAATAATTCCTCAGAATGCTTGTTTCAGAATACGTCTCAGAAGAAGAATGCTTCAATTTTGGAGATGATGGACTTAGATATACCCTCGCCTGGAAGGACTCTTTTTGCCGCTCTTCCCTCTAAAAAGGTAAATTCTGTTGGCAGACGAAAAGTAATGTTGTCTTCGTCGCAGATTACGGAGCGTGGTCGGGGGTGGGTGGCGCGGTACTAAACCTGTTTTCTACCAGTTGGTGGAGAACTTGTCGCTTGCTAGTTCCAGCAACTCGTTGACAACGAGTTTTGTGGCGCCAAAGCTA